CTATGATGCTGAAGAGAGGAGTATTGATGCCAGCACAGGGAAGGTGCCCCCTCCAGTGGCACCCAAACCTCGGGTCATCCAAGAAGCCCCACAGATTCTTCAAGCAGGGGGTAAGGGGGCCCAGCTGTTTGCCCGCAGGCAGAACCGCATGAGTATGTACGCAGTGGACGCTGCACCCTATACCCCTTACCAGCAGGATGTGACCTTACACAGTGCAGTCCAACCCCTTGACTCCACCCTCATTCCTTCCCTTCCTCAGTTTAAATACTCACCAAATGTCCATGCCCCTCCACCAATTGGGTACAATCCACTGCTATCCCCTTCTATCCCTACGGGCCCTCAGAGAAATACAAGTAAGCCAGAAAGCAAAGGCAGAGGGCGTTCCCACAAAGAGGGCATCAAAGCCCTGGATGCCATGAGAAGACAGCCCTACCAGCTCAACTCTGCCATGTTCAGTTCTGCTACTAATTTGTCACCCATGCCTTCTTACCAGGCCCAGAGGCAACAGCAGGCTGACTACACAACAACAATGGTGGGTAGTTCATTAACGGCACCTAAGCAGATCCCCATCAAAAAAGCGCGTGTCTATGAGATCAAGAGATTCTCCACACCCACTCCAATGTCAGCGCCCACTCTGTCTCCCAAAGTCATCGCACCTCGATCAGCCACTACCCTCGGCGAACGTTTGACCGACTTTGGCATGACCTCCCCACCTCTTGCACATTTCACCCCAAGCCCAGCTTCACCTCCCTCTCAACCAGCTGGATGGCCCAGCCTCCCAAAATTCTCTGCCATGCCTATTCCAAACCCTGTGCTCCCTGTAGTCCCTACACCATACAGTCCAGTATCATACACCACTGGGCTCCAGACAGCCAAGCAGTTCCAGAGCGCTCCTGAGCTCAGTATCCTTTCGTCCTTGCCCCCAGTTCAGGCACCCAAACCACATTTTGTTGCCACCAAAGGAGGAGTGCTGCCCCATGTCTGGAGACCCGGGGCAATGTGAACAGTAATAAATCAGTCATTACCACACTTTGACATCTACATGTTCTATTCATTTAATGCTGATGCTATTTAATTATTGAGATAATAATAGTAATAATAATTTTTATTAATTGGTTTGTTGTTTAAAGTCAAGCAAAAACACCAGATTTATTGTGTCCAGTTTCTCAAATGTGGCAAACTTTCTTTTCTCTAAGGCTTTTGGAAATTACAACAGACAGTTAATTAAGGTTAAACACTGTAACATAAGGTGATGAAGTGATTTGGTATAGAGCAGAAATCTAGATGCCCCTCAAATTTTTGAAATATATATATTGAATAATGATAATTAATCATAAACATCTACTTTCTGTTCAAAATGCTAGCGATCACAGTTATTTTAATGTTAAAACATTTACTAACACATTTATCTGAAGGGCAATAATCACAGGGAATATTAGCACATACTGTATGTCGTATACTGTAGTCCACCATGTGCCTGTCCTGGGGGAAGTTTGTGTAAGGCCTCTGGAGAACACATTCTACTAATTTAGCAGAAATGTCCTCTAAACAGAGCCTGTACGGAATTATTCTTTGAAGCTTGAAATGTCTAAAAGATGTTAAGTTAATAGCAGCAGTTCTCATGATAGGGTTCAGTCACTGATGATGTATGTTGCGCAGTGTCCACAGGTGCAGGTGGATTAAAGCACAGCATTATCAGCAAGAAACCCACGATGAGTCTTCTCGTCCAGGTGTTTGAACGATGCATGTCTGGTTGAAAACTGTAAAATGTTTTTAAATGCCTCGGCCTACTGTGGAATTATATGAAAGTATATGCAAAAACAAGGTTTGCTCTTGCACAGTGTTGGTGAGGTTGTGCCAAATACCTCTGCTCACTTTAGCTATAGAGAGCCATCATTTTAGCATGGGTCACATTCAATAGGTGCCTGGGCTGTCACTGAATATTCTCTTGTCACTGGATATCACAGCTTCCAAGTGCCACTTAGGGACACTAGAGCCTACTTAGTATCAGTGAGATCTTTGCAGATCTATGTAAATTCTTAACCTTTATTAAACAAATAACAGAGGTGAAGGAATGTATATTTGTTTTGTTTAATTTATGTTTTAATCTGAAGGTGTGCAAGGGGAAGTTGATAAACTGAAAGGCACCAACATTTATAATAGGTTTCAAAGAATGAGAGTGGCTGTGGAGAAGGGTATGAACAGGATAGAGCTAGCCAGATTACTGAATGGGATCAAAGTTAGAACATTCTTATAGAAATGGTCATGATGGGATATAAAACAAACTTTTGGTTGATAACATATAGTTTTGACATCCCACAGCCAGTAGAAGTTAAAGAAGGATGGCCAGGAAAGTTTGGTACCTGAAGTTTATTGGTAAAGCTGTAGAGGCTGAGAAAGATCCACAGTTTAGAAAGTTCAGCTGGTTAAGTGACAGTGGCTATTAAAAAGTAAGGGTCAACATATTTAATGGCAACATGCCTTGAGAGTCTGGAAAAATGTAAGAAATAGCTAAATGAAGATGTGGTTTTCAGTTGGAGAATTTTTGACAAAATATTTTTATTTTTTAAAAATACTTTTAAAATATCATTTCTTTTAAACACGTTTTTTTGTTTTCACAGCTACAAAAAAATCTAGATTATGAATAAAGCTTTGTTGATGTGTAAAATATGAGAAATACATATTTTTGAATGTAGATGAATTAAATAATAAGTGTGAAAATATTTGTTATTAATGCTGGGTAGATGTTTATATTCTCTGGGAGATGAGGCATTTTCAGAGAAATAAAATTAGATTTGAAAGCTGCCAGCTGTCTGACGTCTGATTTTACACTGCCCCCTGTTGTTGACTGTGTGATCCTGCTCTTTTTTTTTTTATTTACGATACATGCATTAAATTGTAATATTAATAATAGAGCAGTACAATAACTGTAACTGTGTGTCAATAAAATATTGAATAAAATATGATTAACTGTACGCTCAGAGGGAAAAAATGCTTTACATCATGTTTTCATCAGGACAGAGAGAGAGAGAGACCAGAATGCCTCCTGGCCATCTTCCGTTGGGGGCTTTCTGGACATGTCCAGCTGGTACTGGGGTAAACCCAGAATATGCTCTCCCTCTCATTCTCTCTGTCACCAGAAGAGCTGAAAAAAGTTTCTGGGGAGAGGTACATCTGGATGGACCACTTGAACCTGTTGCCATTGTGACCTGACCCCAGAGAAGAGGTTGATAATGGAAGGATCAATGGATTTACACTCACTTTTTTTTTATTATAAAAAATTGGGTCAAATCTAGCTTGTTTGGCTCCTAGAAGACTTCCATCTAACCAGATTTCCTTCACATCACCAGCAAATCTTTTACTTTATAAGGTGGTTGCAGAGAAAAGGCAATTTGAGGAGTTTTACACCCAATTAAATCAGGAGTTTCAATGCATCATGAATTAATCATTTCATACTGTATAGTCCTGTTCACTCATTAAGTCACAGGGATGTGACAGGGAGAATGTCCCAATGACCATGGCAACAATTTCTTAGAAATTTCTCTGTATGAAAGGTTCAATGAAGCACTTATAATGCAGAAACACAAATACCACTTAAGAACATCGTATAACCATGTTGTATGTCTGGAAAACGCAATTTTTCAGAGCTCCACTTTAAAGAAACATCCTGAGTAGGGCTCATAGGCGTAAATTGTGACATTGCTGTTAATTCTAGTACTTATAGCTGCATGTAAGGTATTTGACAAATAACATCAGGATTGTTTAAATTTCCCATTTAACCTTTAAAGGCTTGTGAATGACAGTAACACTGCCATTTGTGAAAAGTCACATCTGTATTCTTGAGCATGTGTGTTTAAAATCAGCATGTTTTGTTATTGACTAAAAATATTTCTGAATTTTCTAAACCACGGAGGTGCATTAGACATTGTGGAACCATATTTTACCTTATACCTTACTTTTTTTCTTGTCTAGATGAACATTTGCCGCTGGGTGCTGCTGTGAAGCCTCTGCAGCCTGTGCAGTCAGAAGGGTACTCTGTCTGCAGCCACCACACTCACAGTGTGCCTATATATAGGGGCTTTTTATATCCAAACAGAAGATTATTTATACTACTATTTATTTGCCAGGTCACCACTGTAATTAAGAATTTGTTCTTAATATAGCTGCCTAACCAGAAAAAATAAAACGGGTCTTCTCATATTCTGGAAAGTTTCTATTTCAAGATGTAACAAAAACACCATGTACAGTAATTTCTCTAGTTTTTATGTACTGTACCATCTAATTAGTTCTAGTGACAGAAAAAAATACAGTAAGACAACCAGATAATTATCAGATGATCTAATTCATCACTTCTCTTGATGCCATGTCAACTCCATGTTACAATGAATTCATTGCCCCAGAGGTCTAAGTATAAGGTCTGTCAAAAATGTCAATAACATGAAGAAATTGCAAAGAATGCGACAGTTTTTTTCCCAGAAAAAACTGCAGTGAAACTTTCTTTTGATCGAAGTGATGCTGATACTGTTATGCAATATATGTTTTCTGAAACTGAATCAATTCAGCAGTATACCTTAAGATCAGTTTAATCTGCGTTGTCAGCTGGTCACAGCCAGACTGCCTAAAGCAATGTGCACTGATTTGACTGACAGAGGAGAGGCGGTGCAAAGTGCAAAAACAAGAGAACCAACCAAACGTTAAATGTTCAAAATTTAATGCATGCTGCCAAATGAATGGAGTCTATCTAGATGTAAAGACAGCTCCTTGCTAGCCAGCACCCTTGATGGCGTTGCACTTAAATATGTCCCAGTGGCTTTGCTGCCCTGCGGTGCCCAAAAATATGGCAAAACAATACGTTCCTGCACAGTGAAAAGATTTGATTTGATTTGATTTGATTTATTCTTTCAAGCATGTAAAGACAGTTGATATTACAACACACATAAGTTTACACAGATCCAACAAATGCTAATCCAATAGCAATTTGCTTATACCTAGCACATGC